GCTACTGTTTTCTGAGGGCCTCTAGTATTCAAGGCACTGGTCATACATTATTTCTTTAACTACTTACGACAATCCTCTAAGGGATTATTAATTGAGATTCTTTTAGCTGTTATAACAGAAATATGACTAAAACTAGTTTAATTGTAAAAATTGGAGGGTCATTTATTACTATTTGGTTCATGTAACCTAAAAGTCAATGGGTAACCGTTCTGGCTTCAGGGATAGCAGGATCAAGGAGCTCAAATGATCCTGTCACATATTTTTCCTTTGTCCCTCTAGTTCCCTTCTCTGCTTTTCTCTGTGTTGAGGTTATATATATATATATATATATATATATATATATATATATATATATAAAAATATATATTTATATATATATAAAATATATATATATATATTTTTTTTTTTCCGTATAGTCTCTCTACATGATAGAAAAGATGACCCCAAGGCCAAGGTAATTTCAACTTTGTGTCAACTTTGTTGTCACAAAGAAAAGAGAAACAGACCATCCCTTTCTCTCAGAATGGCCATATGAAAGCTCTCATATGGACTGGATTTGCTTTAGTCACATGTTCAGAGGTATAGAGTACTTGGCTGTGACTGGCCAATGTAGGTTATGTCTAGTATAGTCAAATGTAGCTTGGTGGGTGTGGAAAAGGATCCAGAGGGCACTGAGCCCAACCCAGCCTTGGCCAGAGAAGAGAAGGGTCTTGTCCTAGGTTGCACGGCAAGGCAGTACCACTCCAGATCCTTTCCTTGGCCTGTGTCATCTCCATTGGAAGAATTGCATGAGCTTCTTTTGTCAGAGCAACTAAAGGATCCTGCCACTGAGAGGGGTCAAAACTGTGGGTCACATGCAAGCTATGTTGGGCCACCTCTGAGCTGGGACACTATTCTGTCTCTTCTTTCATCTTCTTCTCTTCCTGTGGAAGATGCTGGCATGTAGTGGAGATGCTGGCTGCTCAGAGCCCCATTTCAGATGGCGAGGGGCATAGAGTGGAGGCACCTCTGGGCTTAGGCAGTCCTCTGCCTCTTCTACTACCTTTTTTTTTTCCTGGAAGGTGGTTCCTGGGATATAGTCTGCCCCTAAATCATAGAATCAAACTGAAAAGACTTGTCAGAGGAAAAGCAGGATGTCAGTGTCACCAAAGAGGTCCCTTTCTTGCCAGGGAAGCCAGTGGGAGAGAACAGCCTCTGTTGACAGTACGTCACGGGGGCTGGCTCACATCTGGTTGTGGGCGGGAAGGAGGGGCTGCTGTGCCTGGTGGTGTTACTTCCGAAGTCCTAGATGTGTCTCCAGAATATCCCCCTCAACAGATTCTGTCAATGAGGCCACTGCCAAGTTGTGAGAAATGGATCAAGGGCACAGGCTGGCTTCGTGAAGGTCAAAACAAGCAGCCATAATCTCGTAGCTGGAAGACCAGTGAGTGCTCATGGGTGACAGTGCTTTGCTTTCTCTGATTTTGTCTATTTGTCCTCGTCTTCCTCCTTTGTGGGCTGAGGAGCTTGCCTGTTGTTGTTCCCTGGATCTCTCATGGAGCCCTGGTTATCATTTGCCCCGTAGTTGTCGCTGCTCCCGTGGCAGGTGGCTGGAGGGCTGCCCTCAGCGCACTCGGCATTCTCAGGGCGGCAGGAACCTCCACGTGTGACTGTGCCCGCCCCTGCTCAGCACCACCCATGGCTCCCTGACGTCTGCAGCACAGAGCCTGAGCTTCTCCAAGGGTCTGGCTGACCCTTCCAGCATTTTCTCCTGTTCCTAGTCATGTTTATAGTCAAACCACATAAAACTGTTTGTGGATGGCAGGACACCCCAACCCTTCCCATGTGGCTCTGCCTATTTTCGTGCGGGGTGTTCTTTCTGGAATCACATGCCTCCACCCACCTTCCATGCAAACACCTTCTACTCAGTCTACCTTCAAGACCCAGTTCAAATGTCACCTCTGCATCCTAGTTTCCCCATAGCATTAATGACCCCTTCATCTGTGCTCCTGCAGCCCTGCCCTCTCTATTATTTACCTTTTACTCATCTTTCCATGTGCCTGCAGGGAGTGGCATAGCAAAGGAAAAAGAACACGAGCTTTGCTTGCTGGTCTGGGTTTGAAACCTGCTCTGCCACTTACTAGCTATATGTCTTTGCACAAGTTATTCTATCTGACCTTTGGGAGCCCCTTTTGTCTTCACTTGTAAATGGACATAATGAAACTATGCTGAAGTGTTTTGTTGAGAATGAAATGAACTAATCTGTGATGTAATGTGCCTGGCACATACTAGTTCTCAGTAACTGGTAGGGTGGTGGTTGTGGTTATTGTGATTATTATTGAATCATGAAATCTTAGAGATGAAAGGGACCTGAGGGGTCATTCACACGCCTACAAGGCCTGATTTCTGTTCACTTGTCCTTGAACTTTGCTTGGAACAGAGAGCTCACTTTCTTTCTAATCTTTGATAATACATCATTATGATAATGCAGAGAGTTGCTAGTATTTAGGCTAAATTACTATGTTTAGGGTACTATTTTAAATTGTTGCTTGTATGTGTATGTATGTATATGCATATGTGTGTGTATATATATGTATGTATGTATGCACGTCTATATATATTAGTGGTGTTAGACCATGTGAGATTTCCTAAAGATTCTTACTCTTAAAATTGGATTAGAAAGTCACAATGGAAATTAACTTCCAAAGCAAAGTTATGAATGGCTTTGCTTTTTCTTAGACCTTTTTTTCCTGGGGCGGTTTGCATCTGTTTTTGCTTACCTCTGAACAGAATGGCAGTAGAAATTGTGGCTTGTAGTGTTACTGCAGCTATCAAGTAGATTCTGTGACAGATGAAGAGGGAGCAAAATCTGAGTGACGTAGTAACATAATGCATCTAAAAATAGTAATATTTTGTTGACAGAGAGAAGACAAACTTATTTTTTAATGTGGCTTAGGAGAAAGGAATCGTAAGTTATTTTGTGGTACTTTGGCCTTAGTTTTCTCATCTGTAAAGTGGGAGCATTGGGCACTCAGAGATAAGGGAAGGAGGCAGAGGTGGTCTCTGTACCTGAGAACTATCTACCCCTTTTCCCATTCATCCAGAGCAGCTCTATCTTTAGTTTTTGAAGCTGAGGTATGCGTTAGAGTTCTTTATAAGATGTTATTTGAAATAAAGTATTCTGCTGCTTCAAAAATTTGAAAACCTCTAAATTAGATTATCTTTCAGGCCCCTTCCTGCTCCAAAAGCTATTATGGTTCTAAAATAAAGCAAAATTATATTTTTACCCACATACATTGTTTAGTCTTTTTAAAAAAATTATAAAATAAAACAAAATTTTGCTTCAGAAACTTTTTAAAATAATTTTTTGTCTTTTCTCTCTGATTTGCTTAACTGCAGTGAAAGGTTGTTCTTTTCCTATTTCTTCCAAAATTTGCTTTTTTCTGACTTAATCAAAATCCCACCAACACTAGGAAAAAGTCACAGGCATGGTGGGAGGCAGGAAGGTGAATATCATCCTTATCATTCTGTTGAATCTTCCATCCTCAAAACAATCACTAAAATAATTTCTTCTTTGGGCATTCCATTCCTCCCGTCACTGTTTCTCCTCTGGGTGACACTGCAGGGGTAATTGGTTTTATTCAGGTAAATGAATTCCATGTTAATATATTGGGTGCTTTATGTTATCTTTGCCTGGTAATAATGCCTTAACTCAGTGAAGATGTATGTGCCTCTAGAAAGCCTTTAAAGACTGACTTTAATGGGGTGCCTTCAGATTCTCTAACAGGTGAGTAGGTAAGTCATTTTTCATCAAACAGGTCTGTCATCTCATCTGGAGCCACCAGGTCTTCTTCTGCTAGAATGTATGGGGCCAGCCATGCCATCCTTATCACTCTCACTTCTAATTTCTAGAAAATAAACTATCAAGTAGGTGAGGACTTGGATTTAGACACTATCATTTTATTCCTTTGTCAAGGTCACATGAATGGAACTTTACTTGAACAGTGAAGAAAAACTAGTCCTCACTTTTAAGGTTTATCTTACTTTTGAGAAGCAGGCAATTATCTGATGGAAAGAAGAAAAATTCTGGGAGTGTGACCAAAAGAGGTTACCTGCCATTGCAGAAAAATACTGTGTAGGTCATGCCATATTCTAAATCTCAGGAACCTGGGGTGCCAGGTTTGAAGTGGCCCCTGGGTGGTGGCTTCACCTAGAAGAAGGGGGTTTGACAAGTAGTTCTGTAATGTCAAGGCTGCAGTCATGGATCTTTGCTTCCCAGTCTTTGTTTCCTTTTTAAATTTCTCCTCCCTCCTCCACTCCCAACTCCACACCTGGTACCATTCTTCCAGAGCATTCTACTTTATTGCACTGTGAATGACCTGGGAGAACACTGACAGCGAGTTGCAGCTTTGCGGAGCTGAAACTCTTTCCCAGCATCAGCAGCCTCCCAGCCAGTGCCCAGCAGGGCCCCTTGAGAAGTATGTGGCATTAATCTGCAGAAACCTACCCACCTTGTCACTGTTGGTGTATTGTCTGCTCGACCCTCCTCCCCCACACCCACCAAAGACAGACGACAGAGAGAGAGAGAGAGAGAGAGAGAGAGAGAGAGGAAAACTTCCTAACATCAGGACTTTCTGAGTGTGGTGTGTGGTTACTTTCGTCCACAGCGATTGCTTTAATATTAATATTTCAAAATGGACCCGGCTCCCGGGCGGGCGTGCAAGTGAGCGCGGCGGAGGAAAGCTGCGGGCGGGAGCTCCGCAGGGGAACCTGGCGGCTGCCGCGCGCCCCTCCAGCCCCCCGGGAGGACTCGGACTGACCCCCGCCGCCTCGCATTTGCGCGCCCGGAGCCGCGCTCTTTATGAGGCGCGGGAACCGAGAGCCGCGCCGCAGCCCGGCGGGGGGCCGTGGTGGCCGCGGCTGCCCTGCGGGGGCGGCTCGGCGCGGGCCGAGGCTGGAGCCCGGCGAGCGTGTGCCCTGCAGACGGCGGTGCCCGGCGCGCCCCTCCCTCCGCGCCCGCGGTGCCAGCCCGGACGCCAGCCCCGGCGCGCTGACAGACGACTTTTCTCACTTGTCAGTTTTCTCGCCTGTAGGCAGAGCTGCTGGTAAGTGCGAGAAAACAGAGAGGGGGCGCGGTGGCAGCCAGGCGGGGGGCGAGCGGGCGCGGGCGCGGGGCGGAGCCGGGTGCGCGGCCTCGGGCTCAGACCACCCCGCCCGCCCGCCCGCGTCTCTCCCCTTCCCACTTTCTCCTCCTCCTCCTGCTCCTCTTTCTCTTCGCTTGCATTCCTCCCCACCCAATCCTCCCCTCTCCTCCAAACCCTTCAGCTGCTGCGCTGATCGCTTCTGGGGCTTTGTTTAGGGGGGAGAAAAGAATACGGATCGACCCGAGGTGCTTTCTCTTAGGAGCCGGAGCGCAGTCCCTGTCACTGTCCCTGGGCACTAACCGCGGACCATGGCCGGCTCCCGCAGCTGTCTCCGGGGCGCACCTGGGGCCGCGGGCGCCCGCGAGCCGAGCGCGCTCTGAGTCCGAGTCTGGGGGCGCGGGAGGGGAGCGCGCGGGGAAGGGACAGGCAGACGCGCCGGGCTGGGGATCGCGGGCGGGGCCGGCGAGGAGGCGGGGAGGGCAGAGCCCAAACTCTCTCAGCTTCAGCGCCAGTGATAACCTGCAGCTATGGAGTCCCCGACCAAGGAGATTGAAGAATTTGAGAGCAACTCTCTGAAATACCTGCAGCCGGAACAGATCGAGAAAATTTGGCTTCGGCTCCGAGGGCTGTAAGTAGACCTATTTACTTCTCTCATCCCATTTCCCGCTCCCATCCTTATTTTTACTACACAGCCGCAGTCGCCGCTGCTCACCCCTTTCCTGCGTGGCCCTTTAAATACGCCCCTAGAAGTTCCACAACTGCTGCTCCGTTCATTACAGTCACTGCTACCTTCCTTCCAACACGGAGAGGGTTGTCTCTCTGTCTTAAAATACCTTGCTATTCCAAGTCATGCTTTCTTTGGGAAAGGGGAGATGTCCTTAGATGAGTCGGTTGTAGTAGCACAATACTCAAGAAGGTATTTCTGTTCCTTTTTGCCCAGGGAGAAAAGTTGGGCACCCCGGCAGGGACTTTTAATTAAAGGAAGAATTTTTTTCTGCACACTGCTTGTAAATAACCTGGGCAAGAGGTCCAAGAATAGACCACCAGTTAAAGTTCAACATGCATCTGAGTGTTAAATTCTTTCCTCCCTCTCCTTAGCCCAGTTGAACTTCTGATATTTTCTTAGGATTCTTTATAGTGGAAAAATGCTTGCTAGAAGGAAGGGCTATTATGTAGGAAATGAGGGTCAGAAGCAATATTGTAGTTTCCTAGCAGTATTTGAATAGCTGAATAGGGCATTTGCTCTTAATAGAGTGGCCAGAATTCTGGTTGGATTGATGGGTGGAGATCTCTGAATTTCATTCACTTCATTGAGTTCAGTCTAATTTTGGGTATTGAGGAGAGGTGACCTGAAAATATGTGGTATTTTCTGTAAAAAGATTTTGTAAATGATGACCTGCTGTTCACCAAGTCAGGAAGTTGGAGTGAGAGCTATACATGTACAGCTTGCTGCTCAGTTGACTAGGCAGGTCCCAAAGACACCTTCCGTGACTACAGATACTCATTTCATCAGATATTTGGCATCAGACATCTAGTGTGGTTGAAAAACACACTTTTTCTCCAAGCATATTCTCCAGACATTCTGTTCCTACCAAGGGGCACTGATGGGAAAACCAGCTCCTTGCCATTGTGTTTGTTTTGTTGCCATTATTGTTTTTGAATGCACACACACACTCACAAACAAACAAAAACCAAAACAAGTCCACAATGCATTGATCTAAGTTAGCTTGATATTAAAAGTTTCAAAGGGGAAGCAATAAGGTAGTATGTGTTTCTTTAAGAAGTCCTTATTTAAATTTGCAATTTATAAAAGCTGTTCCATCAGTAATCAAAGTGAGCTTCGTTGCCATTGATATAAGTGGGAAACCATGCCAGATAATTTGATTTTGACTTGTCTGGCTGCTGCAAGTAGAGGCTGTAAACTTATTTGGAAGTCTTGTCTCTGGCTGGCAGGCTCTCCTTCAGATGCCTGCAACGCAGCGGCTCTCAGAGTGGTGTTTATGGAAAGCTCGTGTTATACGTAGTGAACGCTGCTTCCGACTGTATCGTGCTGCACACGGAAAGTTTGTTGTGTCCACCGTCTGGGTCCAAGGTGTACAATGTGAATGTGTGGTCAAGCTGGTTTCCTTGCCATCCCGACTAGAGGGACTCAATCCACACACCCAGGAATTGCATCTCTTGGTTGGGCTGCTTTTCAACTCAAACTGAATCCACAGAGCCACTTAGGCTAGAGACGGTGTTTGGCCAACTCAGCAAAGCTGAGGCGGGAACTTGCACGGAAAAGCATTTAGCACTCACAACACACTGTCTTGTAGCTGTCTCAGTTTCATACCTGTTAGGCTTCTCTCCCCAAGGTGTTGCCATGTGATGTAGCCACATTTTCACGTTCTAGTCTCTTGTGTTTACCCAGAACTTGATGCCTTTGAACATGAAAAGTGTGGGGTAATTCTTCTCCAAATGTGTGTTTTTGTATCCGTCTCTCTATCCATCCTACTGAAACACCCTGCCCAATAGCAATCCCAAAGATCTTTAGCTTCATTTCCTAGTTTGAAAAGGATATATTATTATTTTTACCACTATTATGATTCTCACTACCACTTTACCTTTTAAACTTAACAGCAGTTCTAGAATAAATTGCTGGAGACTCTGGAAACCAAAGCACATACTCATTTATACAACTTGGAATAACACTTTGCTGTCCACAAAATAGAAACCCTTAGGAGATAGAAGGTTGCAGGTTTATTTGTCCACACGACAGATTGTTGGTAAGAGAAAAAGGCAGCTGCTCTTTCAACATTTTAGAAAGGCTTAAATAGCCATAATTGGATTTTCATATCAATTTATTACCACGGCACCCTTAGAAAAAGGGCTTTATAAGTGACCACAGATGGTCAGGAATTCAGTTCAACATGTCTGAGAGCCATCTAAATTCAGGATGTGATCATCTCATGCCTGGATTATTCAGTGGTATCTCATCTCCTTTTCTTGTCAGTATCTCCCTTATTTAATTTCTTGTTGAAATTGTCATCTCCTCCATTAGAATGTAAGTTCTGTAAGGACAGATAATTCGTGTGTCTTTCTCACTGCTGCACCTCCATGCCTAGAACAGGATTTGGCATATAGTAGATGCTCAATCAATAGGTGATGAAAGAAGCACAAAAACCCAAATGTGAAATTTTTCATATTTAAAATGAAGATCAATATAAATTATGGCCATGGGACCTATCAACACAATATGCCATGAGCTAGCTGGGAGGTTTCATTAGCATCATTACCCAGGTTGGGTTATAGGAACCTAACTTGGGGTGTGATTGGGCAAGAGGTGGCAAAGTCATGGCCCAGGCTGACTCCCACTGTTGTCATTACCCAGGTTCTCTCTTTCCTTTCCTTGTATCATCCCTGTCCTGCACTGGTGAGGAGTGGTCTTTACCAGCAGCAAGAGGATTTCCATGGTTATCACCTGCAAAGAATCGACAGTGCAGGATACTGTAGGGGACGATCCTCTATATATTCTAACCCCTCCCATGCTTATTTTTCTCTAGCACTTCTCACCATCTGAGTACTATATAGTTAATTATGTTTACTGTCTGTCTCCACCAACTAGAATATAAGCTCCACAAGGATGGGATTTTTTGGTTGGCTTTGGTCACTGGTTTACCCCGACTGCTCACGACTACCTGGTATATAATAAGTTATCAATAGGTATTTGAAACCTAGGGCTGCTTCACATGTTCTCTAGGAAAGAATTAGGAAGAACTCTTAACCTAGCAGTGTAGCATCATCAGCATACTAACAGTGCATCAAATATTGGAAATGTGAGTTGTAAACACTGTCTACCCCAGCTGAGATTATAAAAACCTGCACACCTAGGTGTTCACTATTACGATGACTCCCACACCCCTTGAGTGAGGTGATCCCAGTGGTGTGGCGTTGCTCAGCCTCTGTCCGCGGCCCTGCCACCTCTTCTACACATGCACACATTCCTCTAGGTGAGGAGGGAACAAATACTGCACATCTGAGCTTTCTTAATTAAGTCTGTCACAGGCATGCTGTCGTCTTACTCTTCTAGAGGAACCTCATTTTCACTTTTCCATAAACCTTGGTTGTCCTCCATGAGCTGTTGTCATACATCTTTCCTCTGTAGGGGTGGGTGGAATTTTTGAGTCCATCCCAATCACCTTTTTGTTAAAGAGTCCTCCAATCTGGGAACTATGACTACGAATGCTCTTTATCCCCCAGATGATGTGTGGAAGCCTCACAGGTCACTTGGGTTTGAGCAATTGGGTCATGACTTGTTCCTTGGGTCCTGACCAAGAGTTTCTCTATATGATGACAAAAAGGTGCTTCCGTGCTATATTTTTTAAAATTGAGAGCAAGAAAACAGGTTTCACTTATTCCTTGGCATTTATTGTCACAATTATAATTATCTAACTTCTCACGTCCAACTATGAGGTAGTCAGTATAATAAATTTTATGCTTATACAATACTCTATGAAGATGATAATGCTTTTTGCATGATCTAAAGTAACATTGTGAATATAAAGGCAGTTAAATGGCTAATAGACTAAGACCACTGTTGTTTTGTCTGTCTAGCAAGCTTTCCCCCCTTACTATGGTAACAGACCCTGCATCCTACCCCATGCCCTGTATCCTACTATAAGGAGGGGCTCATGCTCCAGGATTGGCCCATCATAGGATTTTATCATCTTGGCAACAAAGATTGGTCTCAAGTAGGGCATGGAACCCAAACAGGAGCATTTGAGTCCTTCCTTGACATTTCTGTATTGGCTGTGGGTGAGAGATCCTTTTTTCTTCTTCTGGGCATTCATGGTGGCCGTTGCTGGATCCATTTCCCACCTCATGGAGAAGACCTTTCTTTGATAGGAGATGGTGAGGCCAACATACAAGGAGAAGCAGAGGTGAGATGATGGGTGGGAAACCCTGAGTCCTGGAGGTCCCAGCTCCTGTAGAAGTTTCTCCAGTTCTGTCAGCTATCTCAGCTACAAGAACCAGTTAGGCTCTGCTTTTGCTTAGGATGTTTTGACTTTGGTTTCTCTGAAAGAGTCTTAACTAATACCCCACTGCTATACAGAGAACTTAAGTGATTCTTCCAGACTACACAGCAAAGGTGGGGAGCAAAGCCTTAGGCAAAGAGGCCTGGACCTCTGGTTTTAAATTCTTACTTAAGCCCTCTCACTCTGTGTTTTCTTTCTATTCAACTGGCATTTTTAATCATGCCATTAGTGTCCAGGCAACAAGGGGTTACTCAATTAACATTTACTGAATGTATTATATGCCAGTCACTTTGCCAAGCTCTGGATATGCAAGAGTAGGTAAGATACTTACCTGACCTTCAGCGGTTTGCAGGCTAAGGGGACAGACTGACATGGTACCTGGAAGCGATAAATATCAGTATGGGGGAATGCAGGGGAGCTACCTCTGCCTGGGAAGGCCAAATAAGTTGTTACAGACCTACAGTGAGCTATGTATTTATTCTGGGCAGAGTCCTTAGAGTTACAATTCCTTTCATTGATGTCAACCTTTTGCAAAGATGCAAAGTAACCTTTTGCAAAGATGAGAAGAAAACAAGGAGTCATCCAGTCAGCCCAGAATAAACCAGTCCAGAAT